AGAAGTCTTTATTGAAGTCGGTCAGTTCTACTGCACTCTGTTCTACCAGATGGAAGAAAATGGCATCCTGGAATCGACCAGCATAATCGATCTGTTTTGTCTGTATTACATATTTCTTTCCAGAATTAACAACCAGCTAAACCTCCTAATAACCATGCTGTACGCACAACCAATATGGGTGAACGCAGCGACTAGCTGTCAGGGACACATTTGATGATAACACCCAACCAGATGAATTATGTGCTGAAGACCCAATAGGACTTACACTAAAATCACATTCTGTTTCCTAAAACTCCTCTTGGGGTATTCAAATATCATAGGCTGGATAACCCACTCTTCCATTAGAAGCTGATGCAGTTGGCAAAGCCCTAATGGGAGTACAATGAGGTGCATGAAACTGCTCTTAATGTAAACATTTCCCATCTAAGTAGTAAATATTGCATGTCTCACTAGCGATTCTAGAGGCCGTATCCTCTCAGCATTCGCCTTGGTACCTCTGTCCAATGAGTCAACTAAAGGAGTAGCCTACGTAGCTTGGCGGTTTAGCTATTTTTTAAGCAGTTTGAGCGCGAGCGCACAAAGCGACAAAGCCGCGAAAACAAGCAGGAACCCCCCAGGCTCCTCGTGGCTGCGCCGCATTCGGTGCTCGTTATCGCGGCTTCGCCGCTTTCTTAGCGCGTTCAAATTGCCTAAAACCGCCAAGCTACGCAGGGCACTAAACGATGTACAGAGTAATCCACAGCAACTTCACGACGATTAGCGTTAGGATAAAATCTTGAACAGTCCTTCAAAACACGCATAACTGTTTCTAGAAGTTCATTCACTGGAGAGCTGCAGGAACAAACATTAAATAGCAGATAGACCAAGACAAGGCATTTCACCACTGCCGCCATATTGACGATTCCTAGTTAAAGTAATTTTCATTGCTATCGTACACGAACAGCCATTCTCTTAAAAGGCATGTTTCGTGCTGGCATATAAAACGTGATTTACGACACCCGCATATACGCGCATTTTAGCACGCATATATATGGGTCCTTGTAGGACGCGTATATTTGGGCATTTATGTCGCATATCCCCGCGCTTGAATTTATGCAAATATGTGGCCCTTTAAAAATGCTTATATACGCGATCTAAATGGTCGTATATATGAGCTTAAAGCCCATACGTAACGTATGTAAACAAGTATACGCGGAAGAAAAACCCGCGTATACCCTGTCGTAATTTTGAAACGAATGGCCAACCATACCCGGGTAGGCGGGTTGACCCTAACTGGAGTGTTTACAAGGGAAAAAGTTAACCCGCCTGCCAGGGTAACCCTAGCACACAGATAGGGTAACCTGCCTACCCGGGTAATCCTAGCTGCTTTGTAAGCACGCCGAAGAAAAAAAAGAGAAAATGTGTGAGTGCCAGAGGAACCCGCCCGCTAGGGTAACCCGCTTGCTAGGGTAACCCTCCCTCCTTCTGAACAGGCCCTAACACGCGCTATGAATTCCCAATTAAGTGAACAATCCTGGTTTTACGCTTAAATAAAGTCGTTGCTGTTTTTGGTAACAGTTTTGGTTGTTGTTGCCGGCAAGGAGAATGAGAGTAAAAATGGAGGAGAGATAGAGAGACAGAGCTCTTCTCCTGCCTGTGTTCAACCTTATATAGAACGGGGAAGCCATTTCTCAGCATGGGTTATCACAAAATGCAGCGATTTGTCAGTGTCTTGCAGATCAATCATTTGTCTCGGCATAGACAAATAATTCATTGCTAACCATCGATCAATCATGACACTTCACTCAACATCGTACAGTAAATACTACTTGGTTAATTCGTACGCAGTTGTTTTTTGTAACATTTAGTTTCTTGTCTTCGTCGTTTACAGGATGTTCTATTTATCATTTGCTCTTCGATTATGACTTGAACTCTTTTCCTTCCTGTCCTACGACCAATAAACCACGCCCTTGTCCTGCACTTGTCTAGGTGTATTTCCTTTTTAACGTCCGTAAATTCAATCCTGGCTCACTAAATGACAGCCTCCTGTCAAGTTTTAGCTTTCTTTTTCTTTCTTTTCCTTTTGACGTCTTCAACGGCAACTTTTACGTTTTCGTCGCAATTTGTTTCGGCTACGAAGGAAGGAAACAAGAATTAAAACGATGTTGCATTCTACTGTGGCGGGGGGGGGGGAAGGAAGGGAGTGAGGGAGGGAAGGAAAGAAGGTTAGTATATTGGGGGCCTTCGCAAGTGAAAAGTGGGAGGGATAAATATAGTTTTCACTGTCATCACTCAGCCAATCAACACACCACAATTGACAGAACAAACCAATCAGATCTCGTAGTAAAAACATGTGATCTATGGTAATGCAAGCGCGGGAAAAGTCATGAAAGCGCGTCGTTCGTCGTTCTGATTGGCTGAAACTTGTGGCATGAGAGTTTCATAAACCCAACATAAAGTCCCACAAAGGTAAAAGTAGAGTACACAAAATTTTATTTTCTGTAACTACGAATCAAGCAAATTGACACGAGAGAAATAATTGAATTTACCTCTAATCCCAGGCATTATCAGAGCTCCAGTTTTTGTTGGGTACTTTCCGCTGAAACCAACAGGAATTAGCGGAGTCTTTAACAACCCAGAAAGTTCCGCTGAAATACAAAACAACACAATTTTTTATATGAAGACATGATTAATCATCGCAGTTATACAGAAAACTTAAGCGGTTGTGAAATTTAAGACTGAAAAAAATTCAGGCCTGAACGGGATTCGAACCCATGACCTCTCCGATACCGGTGCAATGCTCTACCAACTGAGCTATCAAGCCAACTAGGAGCTGGTCACATTGTGAGTTCGTAATATACCCGTAGATGGTGAAGAACACAAGTGAATGTATGAAAGATCATATATCTGAACTGCGGAGAAAGATATGAAGACATGATTGATCATCGCAGTTATACAGACAACTTAACCAGTTGGCTTGATAACTCAGTTGGTAGAGCACAGCACCGGTATCGCAGAGGTAATGGGTTCGAATCCCGTTCAGGCCCGAATTTTTTTCGGCTTTAATTCGGCTTTAAGCCCGACTTTAATTCTGTTTAACTGCGATGATCAATCATATCTTCAGATCTTTCTGCGCAGTTCAGATATATGATCTTTGATATCACTTGTACAATTGTTTATGTTGGCATTGATTTATCATCTGTAGAATTAGTTATTAAAGCACAGGAAAGCCTTGGTTTAATCGATATGCGGGGAAGGCAAGATAGTCTAAGTGTACTAAATCAAACACGAAAGACCGTGTTTGACCCGGCGCATTTTCAAACACCGAGAAGGGAGTTGACAATACAACGCACAGCGGAGTATTTTTGACGAACTTCGAGGTGTTTAGAAATGTGGTCGAACACTGTCTTGAGTGTTTGATATAGAGAAAACGGAGAAATAAAGTCACGAAAATCTCTGATATCCAAACACCGTCACGGTCATGATTTCCTTTGTTTAAACTTGATGAATTATTTATGAGTTTGAGAATGATAATGGAAAAGACGCCATTTAACTGCTGATTTGCATGGCCTGCAAGTGACAAATCAGGTTTTGAATAAAATCTAAACATCCAATACCTTTCATTTGTTTGAGCTTTCCTTGTCTCGCTTGCTTTTCTCTCACGCCTCCCAGATCTTCCAACCTGTTGTGTAACTGGTTAAAGGCAAATTAATTGCAAATAGCACAGGCAGTGCTTTGTCTAGACGTCGGACGAGTAACGTCGCAATCTGAAGAAAGTGTTTTGAAATCGCGACTACAATGGCTGCTGTCTTGTAAGACATAAATTTCTGCCTAGCCTATCACATTGTAAGTCTGCGAAAACTCAAACCTTTGGTTCCTGGTATATTACCCCATTTTCAGATTTATCCTCTACTATGAAAAACTGGATCATTAGATAATGCAATTCAAGAATTTTCATCGGTTTAGCCGTCATGGTGTCATAGTATATGAGCAATTATAACACGGTCTTCAAATACGGTGAACGTAGGCGTAATTCTTTTTTTTTTGGGGGAGCGTCTCGTTGGCTATCTATCATCTCTTATAATCCATCAAATATTTTTGCTCGCACGCGATTGGTCTAACGCGTCACGCGACTGAATATACCCTAGCTAAAACTGGGGAATATCCGAGTGACGTTCCCCAATTTTCGTATTGCGATAGACATTTGAAGGATAATAAACACAATAGCCTCCATTTGACTATAAAGTATGATCGGATATTTGTCCGCGGCCATTATCTGTTCCTCGAAGGTCAGAGTTTTCCTCGAGCTTCCCTTTCGGAAAACTGTTCACTTCTCGGAGCAGATAATGTCCGCGGGCAAATATCGGAGCATCTTTTCGCTCCAAATGGGGGCTATTATTTAAGCATCCAACAAGCGCTCGAGGAGTAATTGCTAATTATTCCCTGCAGGAACTTTCAGAAAGGATACAAATCTTCGTCGACTTCAATGTCCATAGCTTTGGCGGAGGCAAGAATCCAGTCATTGCTCGACTTCTTGCGTTTGAATCTGGGACAATTATTGGATAAATTTAGATGTTAAGAAGAAAAGAAGAAACAAACGAAAGGAGAAAGGAAGTTAAAGGTAGCGAGGAATGGAAAATAGGAAGGAAGGAAAAATGAAGTGTGAGTGGAAAGAAAAAATCAAGAAGCGAAAAGGTAAGGAAAATGAAGAGGGAGGGGAAGAAGAAAGGTTGGACGAAAAGAAGGAAGGACTTACTTGTGTTCGTCCTTATCAATTTGTTTGGCGAGAGAGATTCTTTTTCTTATGGAAGACATATAAGTTATGTCGACAGGGAAGGAGTCGAGGTCGTTTCCTGCAACACAAAGTTAGATAAATATTTAGTGACGCCAATTCCTATGCAGTTTTCCGTGCAAAGAACTGACAAGAACTGCAAAGTTCTGGAGGCAAACTTGAAAATTCTTCCCAATCGATATTGGAGTACATCAATATTCTTTCCAAGTTCTCATTTTCGAAGTTTGTCTCAGTCCTTAGAGAATTTTAGAAACAGTTTCAAGACTCACATATTTTTTAACACTTCCAAAAGAAACAAAAACAAACAAAAAACAAAACAAAACAAAACAACAAGAAAGACAACCGACATCATAAGTGGGAGAAAAAGGACGATTAGAGGGTTTCATGGCATGCATATTAGTGTAGATTTGTGTAGCAAAACAATTCTTCTTCAAATATAGCATGTTCTTTGTTTGGCGCAGCAACATGAGCGGTATTTCAAATGAAAACAGTCTAGTGTTATTACGGAATTACAGTCCTCTCTTACAACAGTCACTCCGTTCTGCCCTAGGGTAGCCGATATAAACAGATTCGACTGTAGGTAACAATGAAGAGCTGATTTCATTCACAAATACCTCCGTTAAGTGTCTTCATGATTTTCTTGTAAGATCCCAGTTCTTCTGGACCGACGAACACAACACTCAGACCTTCCCTGCTTGCTCTGGCTGTCCTTCCGCTACGGTGAATGTAAAGCTGCAAGAGAAAAAAGACATATTGTACATAGAACAATTAACATGACGGATGGACCCGCTCATGATACAAAATAGGGCTCGGTTTTCACTTGATTGTCGGAAAGCAATTGGTTTTTTATTAGAACGCTACATGATTGGCTTGCAAACCTCGCGCCATTTTTTCATCCAATCAGAGGTAAAACCAAGACCAATTGTGATTGGCTCGCACACGTTTTCCCGCTCTTCGCGTTAGCTACACGTATTTACTTCGAGGTTTGATTGGTTCACTGTATTCTCTGTGTCCTTTATGATTGGTTAATGTGGTAACTTTTGTTTTGTTTGTATGAAACTCAATTGAAAACCACTGTACTGCAGTTTTCGCAAACTCGAATATCATGGCCGTTTCGTTGACTATCGACCCCACAAGACGACGAAGTTCTGAACATTTCCTTCAACCTACCCCAACCCACCCCTGGTCGCGGGGCTCGAACTTACGTCAGGATCCTTTGGGACTTGATAGTGAATCACGTGCTCAACTGCAGGGATGTCCAGACCTCGCGCGGCCACATCTGTAGCAAGAAGTAAACCACTTGAACTTGACTTAAATCTGCAGACAGAAACAGACTACGATGGTGGCTTGTCGCGCAATACTTTCCCGCACTCTTCCTGGGGGTAGGAGGGGAGGGGAGGGAGGAGGGGGGTGGGGGAGTTGCATGACGACTCAGACCAATTCACGTATTGCAATTATTTGGATTGTATCTGAGGGGAATCGCCGTGGCTTTATGTTTTAGCGCGCTCGCCTCCGGGCCAAGCGGTTCTTGGGAAAGACACTTTACTCTCACAGTGCCTCTCTCTACCTAGGTGTATAAATGGGTACCGACGAATTTAATGCTGGGGGTAGCCCTGCGATGGACTGGCATCCCTTCCAGGGGGGAGTAGAAATACTCGTAGTCGCTTCATGCTACAGAATTCAAGATACGCTCTGGCCTGATGGGCTACCTGGCTCGAACACAAACTTTCCCTTTTTACCTTCCTATCTGAGAACAACTACGGTGAAACTCTAGAATATAAAAAAGACATCTATTTCACCTATCCAGGTTCTTTAATCTCTGTCTTTGCTGCATACTGGCGTGAAGAACCCACGGGTCAAAGTCCAGTAGTCGAAATAAGGAGCCCAGTCTCCTCAGGCAGTCAACCGTGTTGGAGAACACCAACGTGCGGCCTGGGTACCGCGATAGGAAATAGTAAAGATACAAGTCCTAAAAATGCAATTAAAAAGAGTGAAACCATTTTTTTTTTTTTTTTTT